CCCCTCAAACATAGAGTTTCCCCCCTCAAACATAGAGTTTTCCCCTCAAATGGCTGTGGCCTCGCCCCCAGCATGCCCGGCGTCATCACGTCACATCCGGCTGATGTGCACGCCGGGGTGGGGTTTCCCTCGGGGCCTGATTCCACGGCGGCGGAAATTGGGCATCCAAAGCGGGGGATTATCCGCCCCCCGGGGGGACTTGGCAGCCCTACGTCTGTAGGGAACAAGGCCATGGAGTCTGCCTTCCAAAGTGGCCATTTTCTCCAGGAGAACTGATCTCTGGAGATTAACTGTAATAGCAGGGGATCTCCAGCGACCACCTGGAGGCTGGCAACCCTAGACTTGGCAGCCTCAGTCAAAGGCATTGTCTCTTTGTTCCTGGATGTCCCAGCTGGGAGGTCGTGAGCTGGAGCTGTCCCGAGGCCTAGGCAGAAGACCAGCTGGAGTGCCTTCCCTCCCTTGAGCTAATCTGCAAGGCATAGCAGAGGGAAGAAGCCTTGGCAGTGCCGTTCTGCAACAGTTGATGGCTATAGTGGGATGGGCCTGAAGGTTCTCACCCATCTTTCTTTTTCTGTCTTGCGTGTCCTCACCCACCATGTTTTCTGTCTCGTGTGTCCCCGCCCCAGAGGCCCGTTCCTCACCACCGGCGGATCGGGCCCCAAGGGGAACCCCACCCCGATGTGCACGTTACCCGGAAGTGACACGACCACACTGGGCATGCTGGGGGCGGGGCCATGGTCATCCGAAAGAAAAATCTATGGTTTTCCCTTGGACGGTCGTGACCCCGCCCCTAGCATGCCCGGCGTGGTCGCGTCACTTCCACTTCCAAGTGATGTGAACGCGGCACGCTTCGCGCACGCACACTCCAGCCGCCAGCCAGGAGTCCCCCGCTGTGGCGAACATCAGACTTGGCAACCCTAAACCAGGGGCCGGACAGATTTGATATCTTTTGTATCTGAATTGCTCGTGAAGGAGGGAAATGAAGGAGACATGCCAAGACTTTTGGCCAGTGCATGCTTTTAATTTGCATTCCTAAACAGTTTGGAGCAACGTCCTCCTTAATCCTTGTGCACGAAAACATCCTTCGCCTTATATCACCTTGGTTCTTGCACGTGACTGCTTTTGCGAGTTTGTTCAGTTCCAGATCCCCTGTGCAAATGGCCCAGGAGAGAGCAACAGGCCATTTGCTGGAAGGAAACGTGGGATTAGTTGACACAGGACAGTGCTAGTAGACGCACAGCAGCAATTGCACTGGCATCTAGGGCGGAGGCCTGTCAAAACTGGGACCGGAGTGCGCCGGCGTGGCTGAATGCATTGCTGACTCTTTGCTTAATTCCTTTGTTTCAGACCAACGATGCCTTAGGAGCCACCTGGAACTGGCTGTACTTCATACCCCTCATCATCATCGGATCATTCTTTGTTCTCAACCTTGTCCTGGGAGTGCTTTCTGGGTGAGCCAAAGACCTGTTTGTTTGTTTGTTTTCCCTTCATCAGACAGAATCCCAAGTACGAAATTCTGGCCAGCCTTACTTGGTAGGAACTCTCTGTCCGGCAGTTTCTGAACGAGACTGGTGACGTGAGTGGGAAAGTGGGAAACAGATAATTCGGGTGGGGCCAACCTAGGTTGCTGCTAGAATGAGACACATTGAAATAACGTTCTGTCATGTGGCCTGCCTGTGCACGCACACACACTATTAGCACAAAGACAAGTCCCACAGGAAGCTCTCTTCCACAAGCCTTGTCGAAATGAAAGGGGCGTACGCAAGGCTACAGCAGAGCTCCCATGCATTTCATTTCAGTGGGGCTTCTACAGAAGAACTTCCCAAGGGTTAGAACATAAGAACATAAGAGACGCCAATGTTGGATCAGGCCAAAGGCCCATCTAGTCCAACACTCTGTCACACAGTGGCCAAAAATACCAGGTGCCATCAGGAGGTCCACCAGTGGGGCCAGAACATTAGAAGCCCTCCCACTTTTGGCCCCCTCAAGCACCAAGAAGACAGAGCATCACTTGCCCCAGAGCCCCTATCTATACCTTGTGGCTTATAGCCACTGATGGACCTCTGCTCCATATGCTTATCTAATTCCCTTTTGAAGCCGTCCATGCTTGTAGCTGCCACCACTTTCTGTGGCAGTGAATTCCATGTGTTAATCACTCTTTGGGTGAAGAAGTACTTCCTTTTATCCGTTCTAACCCGACCCCTGAGTAAAAAAAAAACAGAGGCGTGGCTACGTTAGCCCAGGAATGTTTAAAAGGAGCTAGCTCCCAATGTTAAGTTGTTCTGGTTATGACTTCTTTCAAGTGCTCGTCCGTACCTTCAATAAAGCTGTTCACTTTTGCTGAAATCACTCTCCGGATCTTTGTTAGTGGCGATCTAACAGTCATAAATACCAGTATCCAGTGACATTTGGGTCCCCTCCCTGGTACCATTTTGGGATTTAGGTTCAGATTTTTCTGGGATCCCAGAATTATTTGGGTACCATTAGAGTGGCTGGATTTCAACCAACTGACACTGAAATTGCAGGGGACTAAAGACCCTCCCCCAAGTTTCAAGAGAATTGGATGAAGGGGTCCAATCAAGGTTCCCCCCCCCCAGCCATCCTACTTGCAGAGGACTGGGAGGGAAAGGGGGCCCTACTCCTGCAAAGGAAGGAGGGAGGAGGAGGAGCCGGCCAGATTCGCAGCTCTGCCTGGCCTGCACCTGCCGGAAGCTGCCCTCCTCAGGCCACTGCTTGGGAAAGTCAGAGAATTAAAGAAAAACAAGATACCTGCTGCTCCTGACGATGAGCGTCTGAACAGAAAAAAACTACATGGGGGGAGGGGGAATAAGTGTTCTGCAGAATGGCTAAGAATCTCGGATTTGTGTAACCATTCCAGAAAATCATGGCAGTGACCTGAAATAGCAATTTTAATGCATATTTTCAGCTTGGGGATTTCACACTGCACCCCCCCCCCCCAAACCCACTTCCCAAAGCAGCTGCCTGACCTGGCTTTGTGGCAGGGGCCTCCTCTTGTTGGAAGGTGCATCAAGTGGTGTTTCTCAAAGCTTGGGCCTGCTTCCTGTTTGCCTCCTGCCCCCCTCCTTCAAAGGCTGCATCAGCCATCTGCTTCACAGCATTGACAGATCCTTGCAGGCAGTTGTTTCATACAGCCTGTTGCCATGTGCAGAGATCATCTGTGAATTGGGGTGCTGCTAATCCCACACCTTTGTCAGCAAAAGTGATAAAAACAAGATATCTTGGATCTGTCATGGGGAACTGTCATTCAGGCAAGCTGATGCTCCTCCTGTTCTTCTTTCCTCCCAAATAACGTGGGGGTGAATGGGTAGATTTTAGTCTTTGACTGATAGAGGGAGGCAAACCTTGCCTTGCCCTGGGTAAGCCTAGAACTTTGCGCATGCTCCTCCTCCGGGTCATTCTGCATCTCCAAAGGGGTCTCTGCCCCCCATAATTCTGGAACCACTAGTGCAAGGCTTGGTTAAGCATAAGAAAAGGGAATTCAGAGCAGCACATTCTTGTAGAGACAGTTCAGGTGACGGCTGCGTGGGTGAATCCTTGCGTGGGAACGACCTGAGTGAATGAGATTAGGATGTTGCTGTGTGTGGATGTTTGTATATAGATGGCAGCACTGTAACCTCTTTTATTTGTCCCCGAGGAAATGGGAGTTTAATGCAAACCATCAGTCCGGGGTTTGAAAAGATGCAGAGCTTCTGGTCTCCATGACAACAAGCCATGTGGCTGCACAGGCGTGTTCTGAAATACTGTCAGAAGCTTCGAGCATGCAGATGCGTAAGATTCCCAAGGAATCGGGGCTTCCGTTCCACCCGGCCCTCCCCTCAGTCCCTGTATTGAGATTTCCTTGGCAATATTAGAAGCATGGACCCAAATCGCCAGACTTACCAAATTTCCCAGCAGAGAGCTCTGTAGTGATTCAGGATTCCTGCTCCCCCCTAACCCTCTGATTGTCTGGTTCTCTGGAACAATAAAGTGTCTAATCCTCAGAATCACGTAGAAAATCTTAAAGGCGTGACCATTGCAACTAGTTTCAAGAACGCTTTCATCAATCAAAAGGCAGTTTAAAATGACATGACTCTTAGAGAGTTCAGGTGGTTCATGTGAGAAGGAAAACAGATATCTTGCCGAGACACTGTGGAACTTAACAGTGGCTGCCTTATACTGAATCAGATGACTGGTCCTCTAGGGGCAGTATTGTCTACTCAGACTGGCAGCAGCTCCCCCCCCCCCTCTTTAGGCAGAGGTCTTTCACATCACCTGCTACCTGATCCTTTTAACTGGAGTTGTTGGGGATTGAACCTGGAACCTTCTGCGTGCCAAGCAGATGCTTTTGTCAGTGAGCCATGGCCCCTCCATGAGGGCTTTTATCTCCTTGCTTTCCCCAGCTGTCCCCATGAGTGCTGTCTCACTCTCAAACTATGCCTCTTCTCTGAATGTCCTCCGTGCCCAAAGGTTGCCATGACTTCTGCCGTGACTTCCAGGCATGGGTGGACACACACACACACACAGATGCAAAATAACCTATGCATTAGGGCAGTAGTCATCTGGAACCCCCCCAAGAGAAACAGAAGCGTAGCATAAGTATTCACATGACATATTAGGCGGTATAGAAAATACATAATAGGATGCGACTTACAATATACTATAAGAAGACAAAGCATAACTTTTTCTAAGTTCAATAAATAGCTAACGAAAGTCATGTATGGCCCCGGTCACACGGGCCAGATAACGTGGGGGGGAGGCGTGGCTGTTCCCCCCCGGGCAAAATAAAGTGCGGTAGCTCGATCACGCGGTCCCCGAAGTCTCCAAATAGTTTCTGCTGTTGGGTGTGGCCTATTATGCTAATGAGTTCCTGCTGGGTTTTTTCTACAAAAAAAGCCCTGTGCAAACCTATTGGGAGATCTAGATATTTGTGACTGTTCACTTAGTATAAAGTTTCTAATTTGTAGGTATTGAAAGAAAGGCAATACTCTGTCTTTATATTTGTGCAGCTGACTTTACGGTGACCCCAAAGGATTTTCAAGGCAAGAGGCATTCAGAGATGGTTCACTATTGCCTGCCTCTGCACAGTGCCCCTGGCATTCCTTGATGTTCTCCCAATTTTGGGCAAAACTCTATGGTAAGTATAGTGTTTTGCCCAAAATACCAAAATGTCGCCGCACATTATCCCTGGTGTGATGATGTCACTTCCATGTAACGTCATCATGCCAGGGACGTGGCGCGTGGTGATGTTGCCCCGCCCCCTACTCCTGGAGAGCTTCCTTCTACCCCCTGCCAATGAGAGAAGAGGGCCTGGCAACCCTAGTGGAACCTGAGGAGGGTGGGGCTTAGGGAGGGGAGGGACTTCAGTGGGGTGTGATGCCCTAGAGTCCATCTTCCAAAGTGCCCATTTTCTCCAAGTAAACTGATTTCCGTCACTTGGAGAGGAGTTGCAATCCCAGGAGATCTCCAGCCACCACCTGGCAGTTGACAACACTAGGAGACCTTTATAGCACTGGCTTTGCATAGTTTAGTTCAGAACAGCAGAATGAATTGGTATCTGTAAACTGGGGAAAGGAAAAATACACAAATAAACGCAGTAATTAGGCAATAGCAACCTTTTGGAAAAGATTGAATGTACATCTACAGCCCAGGTGTGTAATACAGAGCAGGCCTACCTAGTTATTTGAAAAGGTAGGCCTGGCCTACTTAGTTATTATTTTGAGGTCTTATTTAATCTTTAACTTTTGTTATAGAAAACAATACAAATATTTGGGAATATATGGTAGACTGATAGTGATGGCCTTGTATCATCTTTAGGGACCTACCTTCTTAAGAACATAAGAGACGCCAATGTTGGATCAGGCCAAAGGCCCATCCAGTCCAACACTCTGTGTCACACAGTGGCCAGAAATACCAGGTGCCATCAGGAGGTCCACCAGTGGGGCCAGAACCCCAGAAGCCCTCCCACTGTTGACCCCCCCAAGCACCAAGATGACAGAGCATCACTTGCCCCAGAGTCCCTATCTATACCTTGTGACTAATAGCCACTGATGGACCTCTGTTCCATTTCTTCTTCAGTTCTACCCAAGAACTGATGTCCTCTCAATGTTTTCCCAGCCCAGTCTCCGCACAAAGAATTCTTCTTATCAACCCACCAGCTTTTGTCTGATCCTATAATCCTGTGGTGTAATGGCATAGATACTTATAGGTTCCAAGAAAGACCTTTGCTATTTTGCATCTTTCAGACCTTTGCATCCATCTGATTACAGCCAATTTAAACTTTCATTTCAAGGCAGGACTTTCTGTGCTTCAGAGCAGCCTCTCTGAACACTACAGCTGACTTTTCTGCTTCTCTTTACCTCCTTCTATCACCTCAACCTGAGCAAAAGAGAAAGAAAGGGAGGAGGGAGGGAGCAGAGACTGAAGACACTGAGAGCTGCACATCTTAAGATGA